AACACCTAAACTCCCTAAACCCAAAACGCCTTAAACCATAAAACCTAAACACTGAAACCTAAACCCTAAAACCTAGACCCTAAAACCTAGACCCTAAACCTAAACCCAAAAACCTAAACATCAAAACCTAAACATCAAACCCTAAACCCTAAACACTATAGCAGTCTCCGTGTCCTTTTTCTATGTCTTCATCCCTGCCCTGCAAGATGATCACTCTAATATAGGGGATTAAATAATTACCAATATTATGGTTCCGTATTCCTTTTTAGTCATGGTCAATGGTACTGCAAATGGACTCCAAATGATATTGGTAATTATTTAGGCCCCTGTAGTATAGCTATCCGTCATAGTATTCTTATTCTGATTTTTAGGGTCAGGGTTTAGGGTTTGGGATTTAGGGTCTAGGATTGCGGGCTTTGGATTTAAGGTTTAGGTTAAAAGGTTCTATCCACCCTGAACCCTGAACCTTGAACCCTAAACCCTAGGTAATGTGTTGCTCTTCATTTTCTGTTTCGACTCTTTCATTGTATGCTGACGACCATTGAGGCAAGGCGCAGACATCTGGAGGATGCTTCGGGTTCTGATGCCGAAGGCTCCAGCTGCTGTAGCTCTGAGCAGTCACTTGGTCATTGTTGCAATCTACATGGGGGGTTTCACAAATTGAAGGGGATATCTGGAGTTCTTTTGGAATACATAGGAAGATGTAGCGTTTCAGGGTTCCAAGATTAAGGGGCGCCTCTGGAAACACCCGCATTCTGAATACCTATGCAAACTCGAGCCCTTCGGGTAATGTGGAGAAGTTATTCCCTGAGGAGCTGCAGACATTTTCCGCTAGGGTCGCAGTAGCCCCCTCCTAATCAGAATAGTCCGTACTCTGTTACATATTCCAGTCATTCAAAAAGGGTGTGCTCATCATCAGATGGCGTAGCTGGGGGTCAGAATTGATGTCTCAGGTATAGCCCAGAGACAACCCCTGTACAACTCCAATAATATAGATCAACCCATATACACCTTACATGGCACTACAGAATGCTTGCAAATCCTCTCACAACCTACAAAAGCTTGAAATGACTAAAAACAACACAGTTTCCATTCCACTTTCCAGTTTGTTTTCCATTTGATTCTCCATTTTTGAGGTGATATCGTTATATAATTCCAGAGTATATCCATCATGTAGGCCCCTGTCTTACACACCCTCAACCGGAAAGCCCTAAACCTGAAACCCTAAACCTTAAGCCACCCCACCGGAAAGCCCGAAGTCGCAATTACCCGTACATCCCTCGCTCCCTGAACCTTCGAGGCACCGGTGGGTTTAGGGTTTCTCGAAATTTGTTGAGACCCCCCCAGAATCTCGTTGCAATCTCCTGTTATCCCTCGTGTCTAAGGGCCCTCGACTTCATGAAGCCTAAACCCTAAACCCTGAACCCAAAACCCACAACCCTGAACCCTAAACTCTCAAGCCTAAGCTCCCTTCACCTTCTCAACCTTTAAATGCTCAGGTCAGACAGGGAAGAGACCAATCCAGCGGCTTGCCGGGTGTTAGTCCCGTCTTGCTGATCGTAAGCACACCCAAAAAGGAGTTATATGAGCTATAGTCTAAACTCCTTAGAGGGGCTTGTGCAGGGGATTGTATAGGGGAGTATTATAGGGCTTATTAAAGAGGATAATAGGAGCCCAGACTATAGCTCACATGGGGGTATATAGGGAATGGAAAAGAAATTGGAAGCTTCTGTTTGGGCCTCAGGCTCTAGGGGTTTACTGTAGGGTTTCTTTTCCTTTGATTTTCCAATTTTGGGCTACTAAAGATTGATGGTTTAGGGTTTTGGGTTTATGCTCCAGTATTGCGAGTACGACATAGCCCCCACAACATCCGTGTAACATCCTCATGATATCCGTAGTCCTCTATCATCCTAAACGCCAAGCCCCAAACCCTAAACCCCAAAAGCTTAAACCCTAAACCCTAAACCCTAAACCCAGAGGCCTAAGCCCTAAACTCAAAAGCCTAAGCCCTAAACCCAAAAGCCTAAGCCCTAAGCCCTAAACCCAAAAGCCCTAAACCCTAAACCCTAAACGACCCCTGTGACCAGCAAGGCAGGTTCTGCCTCGACGGGAAGATCCCGAGAACACGACAACTCGCCCTGGAGGCAAAATCCCTAGAGTTTAGGGTTTAGGGTTTAGGGGTTTAGGGTTTAGGGTTCAGGATTTAGGGTTTAAGGTTTAGGATGTAGGGTTGGGAAATCAGGATCTAGGCTTTAGGGACTTTAGGGTTAAGGAATTAGCGTTTGAGGTTTTCCTGGGGATGCCAATACCCCTTGAGAAAGGAATTTGCCCTAAATCATGCAAGATGTAACCCTAAATCCCAAACTCTAAACTCTAAACTGCGAGTATTGGGATCTCCGGGCAAGGGGCAGACGGCCTAAATCCTTTGATTGCGGTTCTAAAGGGGTTAAAAAAGTCAACAGGGAGGGGTCATGAAGTAACAGCTGCCTGGCAAGAGCTAAGGGTTTGGGGCTGTCGGTTTTAAAGCTTAGATGTTGAGGTTAGGATGGAGGACTCAACGGTTTAGGGTTCAGGGATGGGTCTGACATGATTTACTGTCAGTTCCTTAGTGAAGGTTTTGGCATTGTCTACTTGGAGGTTCTTGGGACAAGTGAAGTTCTGACTGATCCTACTTAGTCCCACTCACACTTATTCGTGAGCCTGAAAGTGAGCTAAAACCCAGACATTCCAAGCCCCAAGCCCTCATCCCTACCCAAAACCCTGTATATGCATGTGGGGATTGCTTTAAACGCTTTCGAACATGGCTCCCTATAGTCCCTATAGTGGGGGTTCCTTTTACAATACCTTTCGGAACAGTTCTTTAGCCCAAGTCGCATATCCTTGCATCTCCTTATGTACCCTTATATATACATATGTATGTATATATATATAATAACAAATATCCCAATGCACCCCTTGGGCCCGCCCGACGCCTCAAAAGTACTAAAGCAGGCTCTGCTTGTGCAAGCACAGCAATGCCTGCTCAAAGTGCGATCGCTTGCTGATCTGCGGGGAGCTGAGGTTTGTGAAGTGGGAGTTTCCGCGGTTTAGGGTTTAGGGTTTAGGCTTATCGAGGCTTGTCCAACAAAACCACCCCTTAACGAACCCCCACAGTAACGAGGACTGACAACCAGCCAACAGTAGCCTAACTGCTTTTGTGTTTTTTTGGTGGTGTGCTTGGAAGGGTGGGGGGCGGGGGTGGGGAGGTTGGCAAGTCCTTCACAAGACAATCCCAAGATGAACCCGTAGCCCCCCTTATAGTCCGTCAGTGTATACATATATATATATATATATTTATTTATTTTTTTAAATACCGACCTGGCGATCTGAGAGTCCCTAGTTTGAGACAATGGCGAGTTTGGAAGGTTGAGTTCTTAGGGTTTAGAGTTTAGGTTTTCGGATTCTGGTTTTTGGGTTTAAGTTAGGGCTTTGTTTTTTGGGATCAGATTTAGGGTGTAGACTTCAAGGTTTTGGGTTTAGAGTTCCTGCCTACGGTTCGGGGTGCAGAGTGTTGCTTGACCGGGTTGGGGATTAGCAGGTTTTACAGGGAGAGAGCACTGTAAGGGGTTCTAGAGGTTATTTCAAGGAAGTACCCTTATTTAAGACAGTATAAGACTCATATGAGGCTCGTTTCAAGGTAAGCAATTTATGGGGTTATATGAGGTGTACATAGGCTTCCTTTAAGGGTACCCACCTCATAACTACCACAATTCCTTGATTATTGGGGACCGCAATATTGAAGATTATTTGAGGGGCACGGCAGGGGTTCATAAGGATTTCTGTATTCCTCGGAATGCAAGGGGCCATTCCCTTTCTGAGAAATGCCTATTTCACCAAATTGAGGAAGATGTGCCCGAAACCTTGAACCCTGAGCCCCAACCTCAAGTGGGCTCTCGCCTAGACTCCCTCTATAGGGGATTTTGGGGGTTACTCAGGGGGATACTAGCAATTAAGACCCTAAACCTTAAACCCAATACCCCAGGGTTATTAGGGGGATACTAGGAGTTTAGACTACAGCTCAAGTGAGTGCAAGCATTCTGAGATGGGCCAAAAGGAAGCCGGAGCTTGATTCTACACAGGGAAGGCAGATGCGCTGAACAAAAATCAACATCCCAAACCCTAGTAGAGTTTAGGGTTTTAGGGTTTAGGGTCTAGGGATCCCAAACCCTAGTAGGGTGTAGGGTTTTGGGGTTTAGGGTTCAGGATTCCTAAGCCCTAAACGCTGACCTCTGAACCCTAACTCTTCAGCCCGAACTCCTAAACCTTGCAGTCCTAGACCCTACACCGCCAGACTCGCAATCGGAGCCCTTATAGTCCCCCTTCAGTAGATAAAATGTGGTTTTGGGTATATTATAATAAGATCCTCATATAACCCATATTCTATCTACTTAAGGGGGACTATACATGGAGGGCCAGGAAGATTAAGTAAATAGGATGAGAATGTGGGCTTACAAGAGTATACTTTAGGAGGACCCCCCCACCCTGAAATAGTGATATTTCTGGATTATAAGAGCACCCTAATATAACCCTTATTAGCCCTTATAGGTACGATTACAGGGAGGGGGTGCCACCCAAAACCCTAAACCCTAAACCCAAAGAGACTCAGGTGTGGGGCCTGATCCGGCCCCAGCATTGCGCCTCTGCCTGCCGCGTTCTGTGAAGCGCTTCGACGAAGCTCTGCGCGGCCTTACCCACGCGCAAGGCCTTCACTTGCATATAGGGCTTAGGGGTTTAGGGGTTTAGGGTTTAGGGTTCAGGGGTTTAGGGGTTTAGGGGTTTAGGGTTTAGAGTTTATGTTGGGGTAATACTAGGGTTATATTGGGGATATATTGGGATATTGGAAAGTAAAATGGAAACTACTATTTAGGGTTTAGGGTTTAGGATTCAGGGTTTAAGGTATAGGTCTCAAAAGATCATGTAAGGTTGTGTTGGGCTTCTTTTTTAGAAATCTCTATTCCAAGGCCTGTGCCTCCACCGAGTGGATGGTCAGTCAGTTCTACGTCTGTCGCTCATCATCGAGGCGCTGCAATCCTTCAAGGGAGTCACAGAGATTTTTCCCCATGTTCAAGAGCTACTGGGTTGCAGTTTGGGACCTTAAGGCTCTAGAGTTTAGGGGTTTAGGGTTTAGGGGTTTACGGGTTTAGGGGTTTAGGGTTTAGGGGTTTAGGGGTTTAGGGTTTAGGGTTTAGGGTTAGGGAATAATGGAAAAGAAAATGGAAACTACTACAATGGGGGTTATATAGGGTTCTACCAGAGTATGGCTTGGGAGTAAGTCATCTGGTCTCCACGGTATTTTCAGCTTCTCAAATTTCTACATACCCAAAGTCTCTATTTCATTTGTCAATTGATGCTGCGTTCTGTTAACTCTCAACCCGAAACCCTAGACCTTACATATCCCAATATGCTAGTTTCCATAAATAGGGACACCAGCATAGACACCAAAATATTATATTCCGTTTTATACCTCAAGAAAGTACTCATAATTGTGGGTAATTCCGAAATCCTATAAAATCCCTACAGAACTGTATATAGCCCTATATAACCCTATAAACCCCGTTAAAGGTACCCCTAATTTTGGGAAACCTCCATGTAGCCCAGGCTGTCCTTCCGTGGCGAATGGGCCTGCAGAGGGGGTAAAGATGCATTGCGTGACCTCATGTCCTGGCAAGCTAGCCTTCGCAGCCTCACATTCGATATTGTTGCTTACTGCTGGTTAGTAGAGTTCGAGGGACTGGAAAAAGAAGAGAACATATAGATCTTAGGGTATAGTTTATCCCGATAGCGGAGAGTCAAATGGAAAAACAACTGGAGGATGAAATGGAAACTCGGGGCCTTGTAGGGTATGCAGTGTTCAGGGTTTCGGGTTAACTTGCTGCTGGAAAAGGATGGGGATATGATCTAATGTAAGGATCCAATCCCCCATTGCTGAATGCCCTCCCCTAACAATGCAACCCCCCACTCGCCCAATGATACATGCCCCCCATTATTTTAGATGGCGGAGTACTCGTTTTAGGCCGGCGGGTGGTGGGGGGGGGATGTTCTTAGCCGTAAGCACTGAACCCTAAACAACGTGGTAGTCTCACATTCCCCTCTAAACCCCTGACTTGGGTTGGGCCCCCACCCACCAATGGGGTTTGGGATTTAGGGTTCAGGGAGGAATATATAGGGACCCTTTCATATTTCCCATCATTTGTGTTCAGGATTCGTGGGTGAAGAATATAATAGGAATATAATGGTTACTAATAGTTCCTTGTTTGGGGTTCCCATTAGAAGCCTTTTAAGGTTGCTGGGACAATGCGGCTACACAGCTCCAGCTTGGAGCGTTTCAAGGCGCTCGAAGAAGTTCCTGGGCTGTTCTTGTGGAAGTTTGGAAATGTGTGCATACATTGCAACCTTACAACGCGGTTTAGGGTTTAGGGTTTTTAGGGCTTAGGTCTAAGGTTATATTGGTATATGTATCTAGACAGACCCATGGGCATGTGGGCATCTTTTTATAATATACCCAAGCCATATTCAATCTAGTCGGGGGGACTATGTCTATACATGTATATACTCCAACTGAGCGCTGTTAAGCCCTAAATCTTGAACCATAAACCTACAAGGTTCGGTTGCACCTGCATGCCTCCCGGAGAGATTTGGTTGCTTTGGGCGGCCTAGTGAACCTTCGGCAGCTTGTTTTCTGGGGCACAGATGAGAACACCACGGATGCTGACCTTGTCAACAAAGCCTTCGGAGTTTTGGACCTCTCCAGTTGCAGGCACCTTAAATCCTCAGTTCCCGTATCCCTACGTAAATCCTTGAAACCCTACGCCCTAAACCGTAAACTTGAGCCTAAACCCGCAGCCCTACATCCCAAACCTTAAGCCCTAAACCTTAAGCCCTAAACCCCAACCCTTAAGCCCTCAACCTTAAGCCCTACACCCTAAGCCCTAAACCTTAAGCCCTACACCCCAACCCTAACCCCTAGACCCTAAACCCTAAATAGTACTTTCCATCTTATTTTCCATTCTCCCAGTAGAATCCCAATAAAACCCTAATGTTCAACCCTAAACCCTCAGCCCCAAACCTAAACCCTAAACCCTCAGCCCTAATCCCTAAATCCTTAACCCTAAGCCCTAAACCCTAAAGCCCTAAACCCTGGGCTTGTCCAGTTGCAGGCGCCTTCGGGTGCTGGCCTTCAGGTCGATGTCCTTCTGCCATCCCGAGGAACAGGACCATGGAGGTAACAGGTTTTAGGGTATAGGGTTTAAGGTATAGGGTTTAGGGTTTAGGGTTTAGGGTATAGGGTTTAGTGCAAAGGGTAAAAGGTATAGGGTTTAGGGCTTAGAGTTTAGGGTGTTGTGATGGCATGGGTGTTTCTGGTTGTTTATGAGTTTCTCAAGAGAGGGGGGTGGTGTCTAGGGTTGAGGGACTAGGGTTTAGGGTTTGTTTTCTCAAAGCAGGGTACCCCGGGGACCTTAGCAGTATACAGGGATTGCAAGGGCGTTATGCGGGCTTCCATTTACGGTTATGTCGGGACCATTCAGACATACACTTGTAGCTCCTCTGTTTTGATACACTTGAAGCTCCTCTGTTCTGTATACGGATCTGTCCGCAGTCTTCATTTTGAAGATCCAGAGAGCTCCAGCTTAAATGAAGCAGGACCATCAGGGCTGTATGGCCCTGGCTTTTCCCTCCTCTTTGGAAGAGATGGTTGTCGTCAATGACATTGATCCTCTCTCTGGCCTGACACCGAACCTGGGGCAGATTTTTTGAAAGAGTAAGCTGAAACATCATGGACAGGCGAGCCCGAGCCCCAAGACATCCCCATGGGTTTATAGGGGTTTAGGTTTAGGCTTAAGGGAATCCTCGCAGTACGGCCCAAATCCAAATCCATTAGCGAGTCAGTTTAGGTCGCTGCATCAGCTGAGGAAACTGCGCCACCACATCCGGGGGCGACCCATTCACCTGGCCGAGTATGCGAGAAGCCATGCGAGCTGTCACGGACAGGAGCGGTTCAAGTTGATTTGTGCCTAGCCTCAGAGTCTGGGGTTGACTTCAACGTCTAGCCCAGAACCCTCAGCCCATACTATAGTAGATATTATAGTAGATTATAGCATAATGTCATATATTATAGTATATTATCGTGTGTTATAGTATATATTATAGTGTATTATAGTATATTGTAGTATATTGCCGTATATTATAGCATATTGAAGTATTCTTGTTTATTATAGGATAGTATAGTATAGTATAGTATAGTATATCATAGTATTTTTCAGTATATTATAGTTATTAAGACCGCAGAAGTACTGTACATTACACTTTCGATCGTATTGCATCGAGGAACCCATTCAGGGACTTGGGGGATTGGCTCCCCAAACCCCAAACTGGGCTGCTGTCAAAGGAACTTTAGTCTTTCGGATGTAGGGTTTAGGGACTAGGTTTCAGGGACCATAATATGGGTACAAAGAAAACTTCAGGATTTCCTTATTACAGTAACCTAGTTTAAGTTCCTTAACAGCAACCCAGTAAACAGTGTGGGTGAGGAAGCTTCAGTCCAGGGGGCTATCTTCACCTAAAACCCTGAACCCTCAACCCTAAACTCTAATCCCTAAACCCCAAACCCTAATCCCTAAAGCCTGAACCTGAATCCCTAAAACCTAGACTAAACCCTAAACCCATATTCCCACTGTGCAGGGTACCTGTCCTCTGCCCCCAACTCATTATACGGTCGGGACATTTAATCTGCGTGGCTTTAGTATACTAAACTATCACAGTTCCCAAGATTTGGGGTACCGCGGGGATTTTCTAGCTAGTATGGTTCATAGGTAAAACAATTACAAGGTAGATGCGCTCTTCCCGGAATCATCACATAGACTTTTTTGTTTGAGGGAATTGGGCTTGGGCGTGTTTTTGTAAATGTGCAGGGCATTCCTCTTCTCCTGAGCCCAAAGGAATCCCACGCCCTGAGCCCCCTGGAAGCCCCAAGAACTACGAAGTTTGAAGCCTAGGTACGGAGACGCAGATGCCCGGAACTCCCCTATGGGAGCTGGATTCTGCATTCTGTCGGCAGACTCCCGAAGAAATCGAAGAGAGGCGCTTGAGCCACCTGCAGCTGCTGAACGCACAGGCCGGATGCGTAAGAGTTTAATGGAAAAGAAAATGGAAACTACTAGTAGTATATTGGGGTTATATATGGATTATGGAAAGGAAATAGAAACCACTATTTAGAGTTTAGTGTTCATGTTGGATTTTGATTAGTATGGAGGTCCTCCCCAAAACAAAAAGGGGTAGCCTCTATAACTCAAAAGCCCCGCAAGATAACTTCCGTGGCTCGGGGGCTCCAGTGGTTCCCATGGACCCTTCAGTTCATATTCAATCCAGTGTTTAAGGCTTAAGGTTTAGGGTTTAGGGTCAAGTGAGTAGGGACGGGAAGTGATCATCACCATGCAAAGAATGCCAAGGGCTGGATCCTTAGACAGCGATTCAATCTTAGCAGAAATCTCAGCAGTACTCATCTACATTTCCTGACTTCAGATCCATCAAAACTAGGCAACGCGGATCTCATTTTCTTGAACTCCCACAGAAAACCAATTGCTATTCAACGATTCTTGAGAAAACTCTATTTTATTCACTTACTCGGAGTTCAACATTCTGGCGTTCAGGGTTTAAGGAAGTAGCAACAGCAATGGTGATTGTGGTGGTGTTGGCGGCAGCGGTTGTCGGGTCGATGGCTTATGGTGGTGTGAGGTTTTAGTGATTAAGTGGAGGTATTTTCCAGGGGCGCTTCAAGAAGGTGCCCCATGCTTCTCGCCGTTTATCTGGCGGAGTCCAAAATCTGCGGTACTTGCAAGTAAGGGTATTTGGCAACGAGGACAGCAAAAAGTGTTACAGCAGGAGCAGTAACTTAGTAGCGTCACTGCTATCTGTGCTGGGACTGTTGGCATTTTCATGTTGCGGAGCGGGCTATTCGTGATATTGAAAACTGTGTGGAAACTTGTAGACATGAATACTAGAACACCCGACAACAGCGGAAAAGGTTGTGGAAGTTTATCAGGAAGTATGGCCACGACTGGTGCGACAACTGTTTCAATTCAATGTCTTTGAACATGAGTATTGCTGGTACTCGCAGTCCTAGGGCTGTCCTTAAAAACAGTTGCAGTACTTGCTTACAACCCTAAACTCTACGCCACCTAGACAGCCTAGGTGTTTTTTTGGGACAAACAAGTTGTGTGACTTGTTCACTCGGAACCCCAAGACACAACCAATATGTTTTGTTGGGGGCTGCTATGGCAGATTCTGAGTCTTGTAATCCGAAACCCAAGACCCTAACCCTAAAACCTAAACCCTAAACCCTTAAGCCCTTAAACCCTTAAACCCCCAAACCCTACACCAATTGGTCATGTCGGCAGACATCTGGTGGATAGCAGACATCCTGCAAGACAATGAGTACCTCATATGAGATATAGTCTATAGTCTAAAGTCCTCAGAGAGGGTATAGGGGTCATTAAGGGAGATATTAGGAGTTTAGGCTATGGCCTATATCCTGGAAATACAGGTCGCACAGTACACTACGGTCATGCAGGATTTTTCAGCCGGCGGAGCTTTTGGCGTAGCGGGATTAATGTCAGGTTGCAAGGACACGCGGTGTTAACTGCAGATGATGCTCTCGCCATGCTGATAGCGAAAGAGGGAAGTTCAAAACCGATGAACGAACTCCTAGCCATACAGTAACTGCTTGCATTCTTATTTCAGTAGCATCCCTATCGTAGCTAGTGCTAAGATTATGATGCCTTCTTTCTCGCATTTATGACCACTATCTTCCATGTACCTTGGAGGCCTTACTCACCCACCCACAGTCGTCACAGCTTGTACTTGTATAGACTTATGCCACCCAGAAAACCCTAACAAAAGACAGTGGGTCAGTACCCAGGCTACTGTTGCTGGGGAATAATAAGTTGGGGTCTGCATGTTGCCTTCCATGCAGGATGTAAGCGGCTTAGGGTTTAGGGTTTAGGATCCATGAGCCCAGATAGGTTGCCATTGCATTTTCCATTTGCTTTTCCGTATTCTAGAGCCACTACGGCTCAATGCAGCTT